TTAGTTATTGTAATGATTTTGGGTTGCGTGGGTTGCTCATTTTCTTAAACTTTTGATTGGTTAACATACTTTGAATAAGGTATCTATGACAGCGTTAGAGTTTATTGATGACTATTGTTGTTTTGTTGATTTTTAAAAACAATTTAATGAGGTATACTGCTTTCTGGGTTTATTTATGCTAATAAGTACCTATTTGGTTTTATATGTTTTAAAAATAAATTTAATAATATTGTACTTCTATTAGAACTTTAATATATTGTTTTTTTCTTACTTTCTTTTTTTTCTGCAGTATGGAATAGGTGTAATTCGCAAGGTAAAGCATAAGTGGCATTTTTCTGACGGGATAAACTAGTTATTAATGCTGTTCCTCATCGAAACGCCAGTAATCGTCATAGAAATGCCAGTAGACGCGATTACGAGAAGATGTTTATTACTTAATCACTACACAAATAATGTTTACAAATTAATATTTTTATTCCATTCTGATGCCTTACATTGTTGTATGCATACTTTTTATTTTGTAATCTATTTTTTGTTTTACAAGTTTTTGTTTGACGATATACTTGTTGTATATCTTGGTTCATATTAGTGTTTATAAAGTAATTTTTTTTTCTTAATTATTGTAAGTACTGTTTAGGTACATTGTCTATCTAATTTTTTTTTAATTTTACTCTATTAATCTTTGTTTTTGTTTTGACAACTGTCAAAAAATGCTTTGTTCAAAAATTCTCCTTTATTCTAATGTACTTCATTCCTTTCCTCAAGCGTTCACTGCTCGTTACACTTAGTGAAAAAAACGGTATTGCCCCCATCGTGAGGCATAACCGCACACTCACAATAATCGTTAAGGGTACACTTTTTTTGCTACATTTTCTTTACAATTTTCACAGGTCAGATTATTTTCTGATTTTGTTGCATGTTTGCATACTGTATAGACATTCCTTGTACTTACAGTCTGAGTTTTCTCATTCGATATACTCTTAACTTTATATTTTATTCAAAAACTTATTTGAAAAAATTAAATAAAAAAAAGAAATCTAATTTCCAACATCTCAAAACAAAATTATTTCTATTCAAGTTTTTACATGAACGCATTTAAGTGTGACGATTGTAATTATTGTTATTCGTAACTTAGCTAATTTTGATAAATATTAAAAGTATGCGGTTGTGCCTCATGTGCATCAATGTGGTTTTGCTCCAGAGGACAGTTTTTAGAAAGAATACAGTTTCATAGCTTGCTTATTAGGTAATGTTGATATCAAAAATGGTTTTCACTTGATGAAATAATGCTGATAACATACATCTTTAACGCTAAAATCAAATATTGCTTAATTCTCAAAAAAAAAAGGTCTCAAAAAATATGATGTAAATATAAATTTTTTATCAAAATAAATATTATTATGCACAACTTCTCAGAAACATAACAGGCATTCTTTTTGACATAAACAAAATGAAGGAAACTGTTTTACTAACTTTTAAGTGGTATGTTTTTGGCCATATTATATAACATTTTTCAAAGTGAAATGTTAAAAAACGGTTGTGTTTCCATATGCGGTTATGCCCCCACTTCCTCTATATACAATCACAAATAATTCCAATAAATTCTTTTTCGATGTAATTCAACATAAATATATATACATTGCATTTTAGCATAAATTTGTAAATCTGTATAATGTACAACAGACTGAGTACATATCAATAAAATATTTATGTTCAAATAAGTCTATTGTTGCTTATTTTCAAATTAGTTTGTGCATCATATAGTTGAAGTTAAAGTCTATTACTCTTTTGGTTTGTTTCTCCCAATGTACTTTGTCATATTTAATACAATGACTAATCCTTTGGAGTGTAAACACGAAATCACACTATGTTTGGGTTGTTAATCCAAGTTGCATTTAAATCTGATCATAATAGCTATGGCCCTTTTTTATGAAAATTTCTAGATTTATCAAATACTTTAGATGGGTTTTTTTTGCAGTTGCTAAAATACACATCTTTTAAGTCAAGGATACTGTATTCTTCAATGCACCTAGTTTCTATTATTCCATAACTATTTTCACACTAAAGGCTATGGCTTTATAATATTTACCATAGGAAATTTTATATGAAATAATACTGGTAAAAGATTTTTTTATTTTTCACCATAGACAATATTGTATTTCAAACTTTTAAATCTATTATGAGATTGATTTCATTATGAAAATAATGAAAAACTTTAATTTAAGTCTCGCAATGTACAACAATACTACACCTTTAAGAGAACCACCAAGTAGCCACCTTTTAAAATGATAACTGTTATACAATTGTATTTTTTTTCTATTAACTTTGACAGAGGATTTTTTTTATCATCTTTTTGGATTGTTTATATCATCTTTTTGTAAACCAATTAGCTCTGGATCTTAAATATATATATATATATATATATATATATATATATATATATATATATATATATATATATATATATATATATACATATATATATATATATATATATATATATATATATATATATATATATATATATATATATATATATATATATATAGTATATATATATATATATATATATATATATATATATATATATATATATATATATATATATATATATATATATATATATATATATATTTGAAATAAATGAGCTGTACAATGAAGATTTACTAAAGTTCATCTAGGAACTTTAGTTATGAATAAACTTCACTGAAGTTTAAGTCTTTATTTTAATTAAATTTTTGACTACATTTTCAATATATTTTACTTTTAATTGCAAGTTTTTAGAATAATTTAAAAAATAAAAAACCTATTTGCTGTAAAAACTTTTTTTAAATGTTTAAACATAATGACATTGTCTTTTTAAAACAACAGATAAAGCTAAAGAAATTGATAGGCTTAAGAAACAGATAAGCTTAAATGATAAAATAATTTTTTGTTTACACATATGGTACAACCTAAGCTTTGATTCGCTACTCAGATGTTTATGAAAAGGTCTATACTTATATACTTTATCAAACATTTTGTTGCATTACCTATTTTGTATAAATGAGTTATGTGCACTTAACACAATTTCAAAGTACTCATCATTCTGTTAAGTACTCAACATTCTGTTAAATCAAACAGTTTTACAGTGATCATTTTTTCATGCTCAAAAACCGATATGAGAGTTTTGTTTTCCACATACATCAAGTATATAAAAAAAAAAAAGAAGATAAAGAAAGTTACATTGACGTAAAAAATTACTTGCTGAGTAATTAAAGATATATAAATTGGTATTCCATACAATGACAAAGGTTTTATAGAGCTAGGGCATCAAAAGTAAGAAAATGAACAAACAAATCAAACAAAATGCTGATTTTACAATAAACGTAATGATGTCAAAATTTCTATTCTTTATAAACAATTTTTTATTTGATTTATGATTTATATTTGATGTATTATTATTTTGATGATTGGCAGAAAAGTTTAAACTAAATTTCTAATGAAATTTAGAATATTTAATTTACTCTTGTTAATAATACTATTAAAAATTTTTTAAAGGTGAAGAGATCTTAAGTATAGCTTTTAAAGGTGAAGAGATCTAAAGTATAGCTTTTAAAGGTGAAGAGATCTAAATTATAGCTTTTAAAGGTGAAGAGATCTAAAGTATAGCTTTTAAAAGTGAAGAGATCTAAAGTATAGCTTTTCAAGGTGAAGAGATCTAAAGTATAGCTTTTAAAGGTGAAGAGATCTAAAGTATAGCTTTTAAAGGTGAAGAGATCTAAAGTATAGCTTTTAAAGCTTTTGAGATGAAACAAGATTTAGCAGTACAAAGTAGAAAAATAAGTTTTACCATTATACAATATCTTTTTGCAACAATTTAATAAAACCATAGAGAAAATAATTACAATTTGACATAGCAACCGTGCAAAAAGAGGAAAATAATAGAGAAGACTCAACTTGAAATCAACAAAAAGAAATCAAACCTTCTACACAAATAATTTTTAGCCTAAAGATTACTGCAATATGTGTTTAACTAAAGCAAAAATCATTTAAGAAGTCAGACCTTGAACATTTTTATGAGAAACAACATCAAGGATATAACATACTTGAATAGATGGAGATCAATAAACAATATAGAGAACAGAAATGGATTGATTAAAATGATGGATGGATTGACATAGCAAAACAAAAGAACTTAAAAAAAAACTAGAAGATTTATTATGAATTTCACAACAAAATATAGAATCAAGAATATATCCAGGCTGAGCATGTAACACTGCTGCCACTGCTAATATAAGATTTATTATAGCCATAAATAAAATTCTGTAAATTTAAATTAAATATTTTTTGTTAATGTAGCCATTATTTATTGAAAGGATTTTAAAGATTCACAGCATCAAGGTGAACTTGACAATAAATAATAAATAATTTAAAAAAATGATAATAATAAAAGATGTGCAGTTGCCTAATTACCTCACGTTAATAAACCTAAAGTCATAAAAAAGGATCTCAAAATCTTAACTTTAAGTTTTCATTCTGCAACAATTTTGGTCAAAAATATTTTTTTTAGGAAATTAGGTTAATCTTTTTATTTAGGAAATTAGGTTAATCTTTTTATTTAATCTTTTTATTTTATTTAATCTATTTTATTTTTAGGAAATTAGCTTGATATTTTTTATAGGAAGTTAGCTTAATAATTTTTTCAGAAAATTAGCTTAATCTGTATTATATATATATATATATATATATATATATATATATATATATATATATATATATATATATATATATATATATATATATATATATATATATATATATATATATATATATATATATATGTATGTATATATATATATATATATATATATATATATATATATATATATATATATATATATATATATATGTATGTATATATATATATATATATATATATATATATATATATATATATATATATATATATATATATATATATATATATATATATAATACTTATATGTTTAAGATTATACCAAGTTAGGGTTATCAAATGAAGGCACCATATCCCAAGTAGCAACAACCAAATGAGATGGATTAAATAGAGAATTGTTAGAATCCAAGGAATTATTTTTTAAAATGTTAGTAACCATCATGAGATCGATTGGATCAAACGATTCTCTGTAATACACATTACCGATTTGAGAAGTAATAAAATCAGCTGCATACACTGCTAATAGGGGTACATTGCTATCAGTGAAAGCACTTGACTCCTTGAAAAAATCATTGAATGAGATAATACCATTTGTATTGATCTAAATAAATACAAAACTGTTTTCATTAATCATATTATGTATAGATTGTGTAGGTCATTTATACAATTTGTTTAGTCTATTGTAACTAATGTAATTATTTAATTTCAATTGAAGCATTAATAACAGAATAAAAATTGATTTAACATCTTCTTTGAAAAAAAAATCTTTAAAAAAATTTTTATTAAATATTTTTATTACAAAATAAGACAATTTTAGACAACTGAGGTAAACAAAATAACAAACAGCTGCAAATAATAGACCTACAAAAATTTTATTTCCAGATGGGTAGTTCAAAAACAAAGGAATATTTCGTGACAGTAGGAATTCAACACCGCCATCATCAGTAGGAGGTAGCTCTCTATCAAAATCTTTGCCAAAAGGTAAAAGTGGTTGGTTACTAATTGGATATAAAGGAATAAATGGTATTTTTTCACAGGCAGGAGTGCTATCACATATTCCTAAATTGAAAAATGTATTGAAATATTGATAAATCCTAAAATTAAAAAAAAAGACAAACTTAAAGCCTACCATTAGAGTCATCTTGATACAAATTTAAAGCATAACCACGACTACTAATATTTTTAAAAACAACAGTCTGTTTATTCCATATATTAGTTGCCATTATAGAATTTTGCCCAGCACTATCTAATTTTACCCAGTTAATCCATAACAGTGAACTATTCCAATAAAACATACTGAATGGATAATAAAGTGGAACAAATGCAATAATCTGGCGACAACTACCATCAAAATTTGAACTTTCAATTCTATAAACAGAAAAATAAAAAGTAATCAAAATGATTTTTCTACAGCCATATTCACGTCTCTCCGTTAAACCCTGAGATAAGCTATTGGCTGGTTATAAATAAAACAGCAGTTTTTAACGCCAGCGATAAAATAAACTCATGTACATGTGTCTCCATTTGATTAAAAATAGGAGTATATTTAATTATCGGAAGGCTGTTGACGCCAAAATCTAACCCTGCTATACACGACAGTTAAAACTGCTTTTAGAGGAATATTCTATTATATTAAGAAAAACAAAAAAATGGTATCCAATAAAAACAAGCATGAATAAATAAGTTTACTTTTATAATAAATAAACTATAATATACATTAAATGAAATATAAATATAAATATATAATATACATTTTTTATACATACATTATATGAAACTCATATGATTTATCCTTTAATTAAAAAAAAGTTCAAGGACATTTGAAGTTTAAAAGTTTAAATTATACAGAAAATTTTATATAATAATGATTTATGCACGCATATATATATATATATATATATATATATATATATATATATATATATATATATATATATATATATATATATATATATATATATATATATGATATATACAAGCATATATGAATGTTAAACACCTATGTATTTAACATACATAAATGTTATACAGATACGCATGTTATAAATGATATCCAAACACACATTTTGCATTAAAAAACTGAAGAAGATGGTTTTTAATCATCTAAATCAAAAGCCAAGTAGTTTTTTGGTAATAGAATGCATTTTTTCAATATTACCAATCCTTATATAATACATGTATACATATATATGTATATATGTATTATATATAGGGTTCGCCAAATGCATCTGCGCAGATCTGCGCAGACATAATATGCGCATATCTGCGCAGACGTCGGCGCAAACGTCTGCGAAGACAGTTTAAAGGATAAGAAAAAATTAAATTATGATAAAAAAATTACTTCAGATATTTGATTCAGATAATTTAATTATGTGAATCAAATGCCTAAAATTAATTATTTTTTTAAATTTAATTTCAGACAATATTTAATAAAATAATTTCAGACATTTTGAAAAACTCGTAAAAAGTAGGTAATTATCTACTTTTTACAAGTTTTTTATTACTTGTTTGTTTCTTTTTTGTTCGAGCTACATATAATCAATCGATATAAACTTTTTAAAGTGTTTCTTACTTCAATTTAAAGTGATTTAAAATAAAGAAATCGCGTATTTTCGTCATAACAAATGTTTAAAATGGAAAACATCAAAATTTCGAATTATTTGACAAATCTTGATCGAGGGAAGCTTCTGGCACTTGTTTAGCATGTCACAAAACTGTTCAATGGTCGAAGGAACGCGTTGCAGCGCATAAAAGATCAACATGTCAAAACGCCAGTGTCAAGGAAAAAAGATTGTTTTCTAAGCGTAATTATGAATCGTCACATCTGATCAATGAGTTTCAGCAACTTCCGTCTACATCTGATTCACCGATGCAACATGTACATCCACTGATTAATGAAGAGCTCAAAAATGATATCGACATAAGACTTGCAAATTTCTTTTACCATACGGGTATATCATTTTGTTTAGTGGAATCAGAGGTCTTTAAGGATTTTGTGAATTCGCTCAATCCATCGTACGCATCTGTCATCCCGAAAACTAAAGCCTTATCAGGATCTCTGCTCGACAAACAATACACAAAATGTTCTATTTATGTAAATGAAATTTTGAATTCTGAAACAAACTTAACACTGATGTCTGACGGCTGGACAAACATAAGAGGCGATCACATAGTGAATTTTTGATTTAAAGCGCCCGAGCAGAAGTTTTTTTTTTACACCTCGATAAATACATCCGGAATCATTCAAAATTCATCTGCAGTTGCTGCAGCAATCTTACAAGTTATTGAGAAGATTGGCTCACAAAAATTTACCAGTTTCATAAGCGACAACACTCCTGTAATGAAATCAGCGTGGAGGATCATCGAGGAGAAACATCCACACATCTCGGCTAGCAGATGAGGAGCTCATGGAGTCAACTTGCATGTGAAGGACATAGTTTCTACAATTGAGGCCACAAAAACAGTCAAAGATGCAGAGAAAATCATCAAATATGTGAAAAATCATCACATCGTGAAAGCAAAGTTTGATGAAAGACAAATTGCAGCAAATATTTCTCTTTCATTGTCCATGCCTGTATCTACACGATGGTTTAGTTATTATAAATCAATGAGCAGTCTCCAGCTATCAAAATACGTTCTTATTAAGTTGGTAGACTAAGAAAGCCCATTACTGAAGAAAATTCAACCAAAGAATATATCTGCTGCTGTTATGGCGTTGATAAAATCTAATTCATTTTGGGACCGTCTCTCTAAGCTTGTCAAAAGCATTGAATTTCCTTCCAACGTAATTGGAAAGCTAGAAAGTGATACAGCTCCATTGTCTCTTGTGTATGATTACTTCGGTCAAATGTACCATTCATATATGGATGATAAAGACATACAACAAAAAGTGCAATCTCGCCTCGATTTTCTCTTTACACCAAGTATTAGAATTGCTTTCATAAACTTGTGATAGCTATGATGAAGAGGTAGTAAATTAAAAGTGCATTCCTATAAATACTCTGTTTAATTTTATAATGATATTACTCCCATCTTACAATCCATAATACAAATCCCATGCATGGCTCTACGTTAGCTGTTTCACCATAATGGGATGACTGAATAACCGTGAATTTCATACGCGCAAACTAGCACATGTGCAAAGCAGTTACAAAAACTGGCACAATGCCAAATGGCATAAGTGCAAATGGGCATAACTGCACAAAAAAAATTCCAAACATTGGCATAAGTGCAAACTGCTATAAGTGCAAACTGGCATATTTGTAAATTGGCATAAGTGCGCTAAATAGATTTACAAACATTCGCATAACTGTGAATTGCCATAAGTGGAAACTGGTATAAGTGTGAAGCAGTTGCAAAAACTCGCAAAAGTGCAAACAACATGAATGCGAACTGGCATAAGTGTGCTAAATAAATTTGCAAAATTTAGCATAATTCCAAACTGGCATAACTGCAAACTAGCATAAGGGCAAAATGCCAATCAGCACTTAGGCCAATGTTTGCAAATTTATTACATGCACTTATGTCAGTTTGCACTTCTGCCAGTTTTTGTAACTGTTTTGTACTTAATCAAACTTTGCATTTATGCCTATTCGTAATGTTTGCTAACCTGTTTGGTGCACTAATGCCAATTTACACTTTTTCCAGTTTGCAAGTTTAAAGCTATAGGTTATCCTATAGCTTTAAACTTTAGTCCAGATAATTCTTTTAACCCAGATAATATTCATATATATGACTACACTAATGGTTAGTGTACACTTATGATCTGGACTACATTAATGGTTAGTGTGCTATTTTTTAAATAATAGATTAGATTTAATTAATAGATAAACTGTATCGTTAAATTAAAATCTAAACGTTTAATTACATTTAGATTTTATGAAAAAAAAGGAAAAAATTTTAAATACAGTAGTTAATTATAATTTCATAAATTATAAGATATAATATTATTAAAATATATTATTTTTAGTTTTATGACAAATTCACTCATGGCCAAATCTAATATGGCAGCTGGAAAAGGCAAAGGATCTTTTTAGTCTAACTAAGCTATACAACTTAATAAAAGGTACGTTTATATATATATATATATATATATAAAAAATATATATATATATATAAATCTATATATAACAATTATTAGGCGGGATTGTATTTCTAATTTACCGTGTACTAACCTGTTTCCTTTTTTTCTCTTCTTCAAGCACTGTATATATATATATATATATATATATATATATATATATATATATATATATATATATATATATATATATATATTTAAATATATATATATATATATATATATATATATATATATATATATATATATATATATATATATATATATATATATAATATGGCTAGTGATTGCCGAAGGGCAATAATTAATTATAAAACAAGCAGATTTTTTTTTGTTTTTTTTTTTGAGTCCAAGGTTGATATGATTTAGAAAAAAAAATCAAAGACCAGTCAAGAATTTAGAATCCAAAGATGAACCTCAAGATATCATCAAAATCAAAAAACATTTTTTTTTACTTTGTTCTTATGAATAATAGACATCGATTCGTGTCTCAGGAAAATTTATTTTTTAACTTTTTTTTGTTATGAAAATCACTATACTCTAATATATATATATATATATATATATATATATATATATATATATATATATATATATATATATATATATATATATATATATATATATATATATATATATATATATATATATATATATATTAGGGTGGCCCTTATTACAACTTTTTTGATAAAAACCTGCTCCCACCCCCTAAATGTGTTCTATCTAATACAAAAACACTAGGTTTACAATTTTTTTGAATAAAAAATATTTTAAAGGGACCCTCAAATATTCAATGTGTCCCTAATATTTTCAAAAAAAAAGTTTTTCAAAAATATGTCATCGCGATACTCAGATGATGCGAAATTATATAAAAATTTGAAAAATATATTCATTTTGAAAAAATTTCAACTTATTTATTAAAATGATCATAAAAAAACATAATTTTTTTTCATTTTTTGGTAGAGAATGTAATTTTTTAAGTAATAAAACCAAAAATATTTTTTTTTTTTTTAAATGAATATTATTTTTGAAATTTTATATAACTTTGCTTCATTTGAGTACCAGGTTGACATATTTTTGAAAACTTTTTTTTGAAAATATTAGGGACCAATTCAATATTCGAGGGTCTTGAGGGATCCTCTTAAAATATTTTTTATTTAAAAAAATTTTAAACCTACCGTTTTTGTATTAGATATAACACATTTAGGGGGTGGAAGCAGGTTTTTCTCAAAAAAGTTGTTTTAAGAGCCACCCTAATATATATAAATATATATAGATATATATACACCCTAATATATATAAATATATATAGATATATATACACCCTAATATATATAAATATATATATATATATTCCTATATATATAGATATATATAGGTATATATATATATATATATATATATATATATATATATATATATATATATATATATATATATATATATATATATATATATATATATATATATATATATATATATATATATAGAGAGAGAGAGAGAGATATATAGAGATATATATATTTATTTATTTGTTTATTGAGATAATGAGCCAATAAGTTTTTGTGTAATAGTTGAAATTATAAATCTTAATAACACTTTAATAATTGGTTTATTAAATTAGTGTGGTATATCAAATGATAGAAAATTTAAAATACTAAATAGTGGTGTAAATAACTCTATACTGCCAAAAATTGACTTAGTGCATTTCCCTTGTATACCCATCTCGTAAAACTACCACAAAGCAGGATCGGCTTTAGGTTCGGGCAAGTTAGTCCAATCGCTTCGCCATGGCTTGAGATCCTACATGGGGAAAAACCATGAAGTTCATCTGACAGCAAGCACAGTTAGATAACGCCTGCAGCAAGCTGGTTTGAATGGGAGAATTGCTGCAAAGAAGCCTTTATTGCGACCTGATAACATCGCGAAAAAAAGAGTATTTGCAAAGTTGCATAAAACCTGGACTGTCGTACAATGGAATAAAATGCTATGGAGTGATGAAAGTACCTTAACTGTTATCTGTGGAGCTAAAAGAGCTTATGTGAGGAGAAGAGTTGGTGAATGATTTAGTCTTCTATGTGTTGGTGAATGATTTAGTCTTCTCATACAGTAAAGCATGGAGGACATTCACCAACACATAGAAGGGGTTGCATGTCAGGATCAGGTTTAGGTCGTTTATATTGTTGTACAGGCACGGTAAACCAGGATAAATATTTGGAAATATTAAAAACACAAATGAAACCATCAGCCAACAAACTATTTGGTAAAAACAAACTATTTTTCTTTCAACAGGACAATACTTCTTGCCACAAAGCTAAGAAAGTATTGGAATATCTCAAACATGCTCGTACCAATGCTATTGAATGGCCTCCACAAAGTCCTGACCTGAACCCCATTGAAAATTTGTAGGAGGAGCTCTTCAGAAAAGTACAGAAAACCAAACCCAGCAATCTGGATGATTTGTGGCAACATTTGCAAGCTGCATGGCTAGCAATCCCTGTTGACACCATCCAAAAGCTGGTACAGTCTATGCCAAGACATGTACAGGCTGTGCTTGATGCGCATGGAGGGCATACAAAATACTAGTCTTTTAGTCAGAATTTCTTATGTTTTATTAGTGGCGCTTATTACTGACAATGCAGAGTCATTTTTATTTCAATGTGATGCTGTTTTATTTATATTGTGCCAAAAATAAATAAAATTCTCTTGTTTTTCAACTGTGGTCATGACTTTATGCCTCTACTGTATATAGGTGTATATATATATATATATAAATATATATATATATATATATATATATATATATATATATATATATATATATATATATATATATATATATATATATGTATATATATATATATATATATGTATATATATATATATATATATATATATATATATATATATATATATATATGCAATGTGAAGTTATATATATTTTTTTAAAACATATATTTGTAATTTAAAAACTTATTACTATTATTCTTCTACTATATATTATTACTATAATACTATTAAATAAATATAATACTAATAATATAATAAATATAATACTATTATTACTGTTCAGATTGTCTGTTTTAAATATATAGTTTTTTCTTTTAGTTTATGCATCGACTTCTATATGTATATATATATATATATATATATATATATATATATATATATATATATATATAATATATATTATATATATATATATATATATATATATATATATATTATATATTTATATATATTATATATTTATATATATTATATATTTATATATATATACATTATATATATATATATATATATATATATATACATATATATATATATATATACATATATATACATATATATATATATATATATATATATATATATATATATATATATATATATATATACATATATATATATATATATATATATATATATATATATATATATATATATATATATATATATATATATATATATATATATATATATATATAGTATTGTGAAAAACTTAAGAACCACCAAAAAACAAATCATATTTTATTTCTAATTTTAAATTTTTATTTCGTCAAATATATTATTCTGGTAAAAAAAATAATAATAAGTTTTAGAAAAGAGACAAACAAAATAAAAAATAACAATAATGCCAAAGAATTTTAAACAAATAAAAAAAATGTATTTAAAGTTTTGTGGGTAATTTTTATTTTAAAAAAATTGAGAAAGTTAAGAACCACAGAACAAAAAACAGTAATTTTTACCTAATACCACGTAATTCAACCATAAATTTTTAAGCACTCATTTATACGATTTGGCATTGAGTCTATTAAATTCTCTAAAATATGTTTAGGAATATTTCCTAGTTGTTAGTAAAATATTGCTCCTCATGGTTCCTTGGTGCTTTCTTGGCAATCTCTTTATCAAGCCAACTCCAAAGATTTTCAATGCAATTTAGATCTTGGCTATTTGGTGGCCAAGTTAGAAGCTCAATGTTTTTGCTTTCGAACCATTCAGAAACAATTTTGTGACATGGTGCATTATCTTGCTGAAAAATGAACTTAACGCTTTGTTCAAGTGCATCAATTGATGGTAAAAAGTTGTTATTTAAAATATCAATGTAATAAATAGAGTTGAGTCGATCATCAAATAATTTAATAATATCGAGACCATAATATGCCATGCAGCAACATATTCCAGCTGATCCGCTACCTTGTTTTGTTCTTTGAACGATACAATTGAGATTCTATTTTTCTAAAGGCTTACCAAACAACATATAAAAAATCGAAAATTCTTTTCAATTTTTTATATGTTGTTTGGTAAGTCGCGGTTTTAGAACAGCTTTTTTCCATAGCATATTGTTAGCTATTAGTTTCCTATGTACAAGTGATATCGATGCTTGAGGTCCATTTGAAAGCTTCCATTCTCTTCTTAATTCATTCAATGACATGGTTTGATTTTTCTTTGCCAACCTGATTAAAAGACAGTCATCATTGGGTGTCATCAAACGCAGTCTTCCAGAATGATGGCAAAAAACGTAAGATTTTGTCTCTCTAAATCTTTTGATAATTATTAGCACCTAACTATGTGATTGTTTTATTATTTTTCCAATTTCACAAGCATTTTTACCTTCCTGGTGAAAATGCAATACTTTTACACGATCTTCATAGGTAATAGCTTTTCTGCTCATTTTTTCAAAAGAAAATACTTTTTATTTAATACTTTTGGTTTTTTGGTAATGATTCAGGTCATTAAAAGAATATTTAAATAAAAAGGTAAAAATCAATTTAAAAAAGTTGTTTTCACCGCAATTAGCACAAAAAATTCTTTGTGGTTCCTAACTTTTTCACAAAAAAAATAAAAATTAAAAAACTTATAATATTTATTCCTTATTTTTATAGGTTCTATTAATTAATTTTCAAAAAAAAATCTTCTTTTTTCTCATTTTCTATTCTATTTAACATTTAATTATTCTATTTAATACCTTTAAAAAAAAGACTATTTTATTATTTTTAGAATAAAATTAATCAATTTTATTTGAAAAGACTATTTTTATTATTTTTAGAATAAAATTTATCAATTTTATTTGAAAAATATATTTTTTTATTTAGCGGTTCTTAACTTTTTTACAATACTATAAAAAAATATATTTTTTCCAAATAAAATTAATTAATTTTATATATATATATATATATATATATATATATATATATATATATATATATATATATATATATATATATATATATATATATATATATATATATACATATATTTATATATATATATATATATATATATATATATATATATATATATATATATATATATATATATATATATATATATATATATATATTGTTGTTTTGATTATTTGATAATAATCAACTCTTTCTTTTTCGATTTGAGAGTGATCAATATAAAGTGAAATAAACACAAAATAGATCAATAAATAAATAAATAAAAGGTTAGATGAGAAAAAACAACTTTTTTACGGTACTTAAAGTTTCATGCCGTTTTCAACACTCATCAGCCATATATTTAAATCAAGAAAAAACCGTTCAAAAATACAATTAAAAAACCGTTACAAAATTCAAAAAAAACAATGGAATGAGTTCTGACGTCAAATAATTATAATACAAATAATAGCAATAATAATAATGATAATAATGATAATAATAATAATAGCAATAATAATAACAACAACAACAATAATAATAATAATAATATGGAAAAAACATCTTTTCTAATCGCCAGTGTCAAATTGATGTTTTTTATATATATATATATATAAAATATATATATATATATATATATTTATATATATAGATATATATATATACATATATATACATATATATATATATATATATATATATATATATATATATATATATATATATATATATATATATATATATATATATATATATATATATATATATATAGGGAAAACACAACTTTATAATGAAACTAAAAGTTTCATGCCTATCGGCAATCTTCAGCCATATATATTATACAAATCAAGAAAAAACCGTTAAAAAATACAAAATACAAAAACAGCAGTAGAATGAGTTCCGACGTCAAAACAAAACGAATAAAAAAACGAATAAAAACGAATAAAAAAGAAGCATAATTGTAAAACTGCTTATCACCAGTGTCAAATTGGGCAAGAAGAAATTTGTTTTTATGCCAGCACTTAGATAATATTTCACTCTTTTTATTTAACAAATTTGGGTGTTTGAAAAATAAAATTTCGTACTTTTCGTTTAAGCATAAGTTACATCGTTTGGTTACAGGGTTATAGGCATGGCACTTTTTAATTATTTTCCACCTAACAACTGGGTTTAAGTTTTCATCTTTTAATCTCCAAACCTTTGATAATTCAGTGTCATTTTTGTATTTGGGAATTTTAAAAGATTTTATGTGATTAGCATATCTAATTTTAAAAGATGTTTCGCTTATGCCAATGTAAAATTTATTGATGGGAGTTTGAACAAGATTGTTTGAGCATACATTAGCTTGATATACTATATTTTTTGTTAAGCATTGGTTTGATAATGGGCAGGTGTTTTTATCTATGCAATTCCAATTATTTTCAGCTAATTCTTTCTTGTTGTTTATAACATGGCGATTGTGGGCGTTTAAATCAGATTTCATATTAGGCATACAGCTACTTTTACAACTTACTTTTAATGTGTTAATGTTAAAAATTTTGTGCAACTTGTCATTTTTAGGGAAGTGCTTATCAATTAATGTTAAAAATATTTTTCCTATATTCGTGCTTACGTTTTTGCTAAAAGGGGGGTTGAACCAAATGATGTTACGTTTACGGTTCTTGGTGTGAGATAATATTAAGTTAGGTTGGTAAGAAAGATTGTAATTAAAACCGGATTTTTTTAATGCTTCATAATACATAGGAGTGGATTTTTGAAAGATTTCCTCGCTTGACGAATTTGCTGATAATCTTAATTCAATAAAATGTGGGAGTTGCTTTAAAATACTGGATGGGTGGTTTGATTCAGCATGAATGTAATTTAAAGAGTTTTGGTTTAGAGTAAGGTTGGTAGGTGTGGTTGTTGAGGTTTAATGTAATGTCCAGATAATTTACGATTTTTATGTTGCACTGTGTTAATATCAGAAGATTGTTCGATTTAAAGAGTTTCCGTTTAGAGTAAGGTTGGTAGGTGTGGTTGTTGAGGTTTAATGTAATGTCCAGATAATTTACGATTTTTATGTTGCACTGTGTTAATATCAGAAGATCGTTTGATTTAAAGAGTTTCGGTTTAGAGTAAGGTTGGTAGGTGTGGTTGTTGAGGTTTAATGTAATGTCCAGATAATTTACGATTTTTATGTTGCACTGTGTTGATATCAGAAGATCGTTCGATTTAAATATTTTAACAACATGTTTTTTAATTTTTTCCATATGGGGACCACTGATGTTTTTAAAAATTGCCAAACCGTCATCACGGTATAACTCGAAATCATTCTTATTATAAAACTGTGTAATCTGAAATAAAAGAAAAATCCCCACAAGTTCACACACTTCGGCGCTATCAAATGCTCCCATCGAAACATCGAATAATCCGCTTGACTTCTTAATCCAAACTTGATTGCTATCAAACAACAGTGACTTTCTGGCATGGTAAATAATCCATTTTTGCTCAGGATCTATAACCTCAATGAGGTTGTTAGGTGGAAAATAATTAAACAGTGCGATGCCTATAACCCTGTAACAAAGCGATGTAACTTATGCTTAAATGAAAAATATAAAAGAGTGAAATATTATATAAGTGCCGGCTTAAAAACAAATTTCTTCTTGCCCAATTTGACACTGGCGATTAGCAGTTTTACAACTATGCTTCTTTTTTATTAGTTTTTATTCTTTTTGTTTTGATGTCGGAACTCATTCTACTGCTGTTTTTGTATTTTGTATTTTTTAACGGTTTTTTCTTGATTTGTATAATATATATGGCTGAAGATTGCCGATAGGCATGAAACTTTTAGTTCCATTATAAAGTTGTATTTTTCTATGTATAACTTTTTACTGTCACAAATATTTTTTGTGATTTAGTAAGAAATTATACAAATATTTGATTTTCTGATTGTAGTAGAAAAAATACATTATATCTTTAAAAAACAACAATAAAAAAATCTTAAAAAGATATTGTGATGAAGTCATATACCGAAACTGCGATTAAAAAAATTATTATTGTGATTATTAGAGTTCACAGGCAGAGAAAAAATAAAGGCAGTATGATGCGGTTTTTCGATTTATATTCAGTTCATATGGTTCAATAGAGTTGTTTGTTTTATGTTAAATTTATATTTAGTTATGGTTAAACTCTTTCTCTACTGCAAGCCACTGGTAGCGGCTTTCGAGTATGCTTTACAATTTATCTTGTTTTGTACATAAATTTCTATTCTAGACACATAGAATTTGTTTGTTTTGAAGGTTTAATTAATTCTCTACATAATCAAGAAAAAAATAAGAGCTCTATTGTGTAATTATCACAAAGTTAAAAAATCTTGAATAATCCTTCTTTAAAAAAACTTTAAATTTAGTTATAAAATAAAACAGCGTTAACAAGTGTTAAGTATTTAGTTGAGTAATTACCAAAGTATTTAGAAGAAAAAAATATTATTTTTATTCATTAAATGAGGTTTGTTTTCAACTTAACGTTTTATTTACTACTTAAAAAACAATAGTTTTAAGCACTTTGCATTTATTATTGTTTAATGATGCGTGTTAAAAACATTATTATAATCGAATTTTAATTAATTGTCAATGTTATACTATTCAAATGTTATTCTAATAAATGTGCGGTTGCTACAAAAAGATTTTTGTTTGGCTGGTAGCGAACAATTTAATGTGATTCTTTGTTTTTATATTTATATTTTATACACTTTCTTTTATATTTTAGTACAAATACTTGTATTAACTTTAATTTAGTTTGATTTGAACAGTTATTAGTAAAATAAGTCGTTTAATATTTATTTTCTACTTAGTTTAGTTTATGTTTATTCAAGTCACTCGTTTTTTTTTTTCAGTTTATACTTTAAATTGATTTAGACTCTTTTCTAAAATTATTCTTTTAGTATCTAGCTTATATTTAGTTTAAACCATAACAATTCTGTAAATATTCGTTATATATTAAATTTTTATTTTTGTAAATTTTACAAATTTAATTTTTAATTGCATCATAAACTTTTTTTGGGATTTAGTTAAAAGTTATACAATTAACAGATTTGTTGATTTTGGCAAAAAAGGAATATGGTATCTTGAAAGAAAAAATTTATACGCTGACGTCATATACCGAAACTGTTATGAATTAGACACGCATGGAATAAATTATCAAGTCTGCAGATTGCGACTAACATTATACAGACTCCAAGAACAAAAAAAAAATGGAGACAATGAGCTTCGACTAAAACGTGAATTTTAAATTTAATGGTGTGCATTCATTATATAATTTTAATCAAAAAAACTTAGCCTAAATGCTTTTTTTTAAACATTTTCTTTAATATGAACACAACTTGTTTCAGCAGTTGGGGAACCCTTTGAATGACCCTAAAATTAGAAAAACCAGATCTAAATTGATTTTATTTGACAACAAAATAGTCTCATTACTATATGTATGTCATTAAAACAAAAGAATATCATTGACCACTGAAAACATTTTGGCTGCCTAAATTAATGGAATTAGGTGACAATTCTAAAAATCCATAATAATTTTTTCAGTACTGTGTGTGTATATATATATATATATATATATATATATATATATATATATATATATATATATATATATATATTATATATATATATATATATATGTAGATACACTATACTAAATTTAACTTAAAAATAAAATTACAGAAATCCATTTATTCTTAGCATGTTGAGAAAAATAATTTGAAAAACAAAATTATTAAAATTTAGTCAAACAATTTAACCAAAAATGTTTAAAATAAAACTATTAACCTTGAAAAGAATGAATCTGCCCAATATAATCTACTTTTTTTACGATCTATAGCTAAGGAATTAGGGTATAATAAGTCTCCTGCAATTACTTTCATTGTATTATTAAAGAAAAACCTTCCAACATAACCATTTTTCTCCCCCCAAAACGTTACAAAAAGCGATCTAAACGAGAATTATTTGAATTGAAATCTCTGAAAAATTAAACTATGCAAATTAAAATTTCTGAAACTATCAAAATGATTTTTAATAAAAAGTTTTTTGAGTTGAAGTTTTGTTCATAAAAAATAATTTACATTAAAAACTCAAAAACTTTTATTAGTTAAACTGCAAATTAAAACTAAAAAATTTAATCAAAACTAAAAAATTAAAACCTTCCACAATTTTCCAAAACCATAGCTCTTGGGAAAACAGGTGATGGCGAATTGCTAATACCTTTTGAAACTAAAGCTGGAATCAAAACTTTGGAATTAAGATCCAAAGAAAAAATACCATTAAACTTGTCTGCATAGTATAGAAAATTTCTTGTCCAATCATATGCCATACCATCAACAGTATTATTCACTAAATCATAAACACAGAAAAAAAAATTTAAAAAGTTTATAAGCAAAAAAAAATATATATATATATAAATTTTATCCAGAGTTATATCCTAGGCATAAGAATTGAAACCATTTTAAATGGCAATTTAATAGGATAAATGATTCTTGCTATATGCGAATTTATATTTCTTTTTCTGTGGATTTGGTGGTTTTGATAAGATGGGGAGGAGGGAGTGATAGTGAAACTAAATATTTTATTAACTTGTTGCCCTCATATTTGATTCAAAACTGTTTTGTATAAACTTTTAAATGTTCAAAAAAAGTCTTTTGTAGATTAAATTGCGCTGGGCACTGGGTACAGAGTTGTGAGGTTGTCCTAGAGTTTTGTTAATGTGATTTTGCAATTTTGAAAATTTTACTTAATTAAGAATTAGAAATAGTTTATGTAACTAAAAGTCAATTTATAAAAGAATGTTTTTTAATTAGATTGTACTATAAAATCGATTTTCAAAACTGCACTGTTGTTAAAAATTTTTTGACATATATGATTAATATACTTTACCCAGTTGGTATGCCCCACTGAAAAGATGTTCAGAATGCATGAAAGATACCCATAGGATGTCCCTAGAAAAATGGGTGTCCACTGAGTAATTTTTTAAAACTAAAATTTTTATGACAGCTACAATTATTAAACAAATAAAATTCTAATAATGTTAATGAGTATAATTTTAATAATTAAAAATAATAGTTAATTTTGAAAAGTTTATGACCAAATTGCCTTGACTAGTATGTTATAATGATATTACCTTGATTCAATTTTAATAAATGGAGCTTTATCAAATTGAAATCGAATAATCTATTCTGTTATAATAACTATATTATAGTTATAAAAAGTTTTTATCTAATAAACTATAAAATAGTTTACTTGTTTACTGAAATTTTATTTATTTTATTTTCACCTAATTTTGATTATGTATATTCTAATTAAATTTTGTTTCCACTACATTATGTCTAGTCAGGTAGACATGAGTTGATTCTAAGAATAGATTGTAGATGGAAATTCTAAGAATATTTTGTTTCACACATTGCAGATTGTACAATAGATTGTAGATGGAGTTGCGTGAAAATCCAAAAGAGTAGATATCCAGAATAGCAAGACTCGTTTAAAGTGGAAAATATTTTATATGTTGAGAGAAAACAAAACATTGCTATTTGATTTTATGCAAATGAATATACAAATGTGTATGTGGCAACAAACCAATATTTATAGGCTAATTTATTCGGCAACTCACAATGGCACAATACAAATCTCATATTGTTTGTCTGTGACAAAACATCAATACTTTACTGCGCTGCTTTGTCAGCAACGTAATCATTTAAAAGTAATGTAAAATGATTACAGTATATAGACTAAGCTAGTATAAAATTCACAACATAAATAATCACTTGCAAAGTAATAAAACAAATGATGTGATCTAAGAAATATATCTAAGAGTTAATAAAAATATAACAAAGTACTAAAAATCAGAGAAAAGATAGGTAAAAAGGTTCTTATTGGTTGCTGCTGCAACCAATAAGAATTCAGTTGTTCATCTGTAATGATCCTTAGAAATTTGATTAAACTTTATAACTTACAATAAAAAAATAAAAATCTAAATAAATGTAAAATATAAAAAAATATGAAAACAGAAATTATAGAATTTAAGAAAAAATATTAAACTATTTAGATTAAATTTGAACTATATAAGAGAATTTCCACAACTTATATTTGAAAGCATTCACTAAAGACATTTTAGGGAGCCTAAGATTTGCAATGACTTTTCAGGTTTATGTCCTTGCAACATCTCATTGTCTGTTATGCTATGCTAGTTAATATTGCAATAAAACTTAAAATAAACCCTATCCAGAAATTTATACACCTCAAGTAATTATACAGACTTGTATAAACATGGCAAAAATCAAACAACAAACTTTTAGGCTGCCAACAATTTTTTTAACTTTTATTGATAAAAAAATATCAAACACAATAAATGTGAAAGAAAAAGTACGTCATTTTTTTTCAGTGGTTATATTAAAATTTTTTTAATTGTTTTGTATTTTGTTTACAATGTGTTGTGGTTTTAAAAAAATGTATTAGTTTATTGATTTAACTTAAAATTAGTTTTAAAAATGACAAAAGAAGAAGACATAAGAGAAAAAATTATGCACAAATATTTGGAAAATCCCAATAGTAATCCCAATAACATTCATACACCATTAGTCGTGTAATCCAACGTTGTTCTCAAACAAAATTGATCAATCAGAGCATGAAAACGTTCTCATAGTTTTGAACTTTCTCATAGTTTTGTTGTAAAAGTTCTAAATAAACATGGTTTTCATTCTTTCAAAGCACAAAAAGTGCCCAACTGATCTGAAACTCAACAAAAAAGTGCAAAAACCTCTGCAGAAAGTTGTATAACAATTTTATTTCTAAAAATTTATGTATTATTGAAGACAATGAAACTTATATCAAGTATGATCATCAGCAAATTCCTGGTGCTGTCTAATATATTGCCAAATGTAGAGGAAAAGCAGATAAGAAATTTAAATACATAAAATATGACAAGTTTGCTAAAATAGTCTTAATTTGGCAAGCTATTTGCAGTTGTGACAAAAAATCAGCACCTTATTTTTCTCAGTCCACACTTTTGGGTCAAATATATGTAAAAGAGTGTTTACAAAAACAGTTTTTACCTCTCATTAAATCACACGATAAAAGACCTGTGTTCTGGCCAGATTTAGCTTCAATTCATTATTGTAAACTAGCTTTGGAATGGTATAAAAATAATAATGTGAAATTTGTGCCTAAAGCAAAAAATCCTCCAAACTGCCCAGAATTAAGAGTTATTGAAAAGTACTGGGCCATTATTAAAAGAAAAAATTAAAAAAAAAATAAAAAAAACTTTGCAGAAATATTAAAGATATTAAAATATCATATAAAAAAATATCAAATGGCTTCAATTCATATTCTATGCACAAGAATATGGATACCACCAAAGTAAACATTCAAAATTTTATTAGATTCCCACAGGAATAATTTGATTTTTTTTTATATTTGATCTTATATTATTGTATTAAAGTTATTACTTGGTTGGAAATAAAAATTGAAGAGTACTTTTTTTTAGTTGTTTTTCTACTTTCACATTTATTTTGTGTACATGCTTTATTTGTATTTAAAGATTAAATTATGTATTGGACCATTATTACTCCTCATTTTTATTAATAATATGTCTACTCAATCACTATTGCAAACTTTTTTCTAATGACACCAAAATTATTGTGATTATAAAAGAGCCCTCTGACGTGCAGCAATTACAAACCGACATCGATAGAGTAGTTGACTGGGCTGATACTTGGTCAAAGAGTTTTAATCTAGAAAAATCCAGTTATATGATTTTTAACAAGCATTGTCACACACAACAATCACACAACAAAACTTTTGTTGATGATAAATTTAATAATCCCTGCTTCCAACTAACAATAACTGATAAAACTGGCTTTTCTCACATTCTTAAAGAGACTAACTCTGAACATGATCTTGGTGTTGTTGTTCACAATCTGTTTTTGTGGAATGATCAAGTAGCAAAAGCTATTTCAAATTCATATACTGTTCTTGGAATTCTTAGACGCACTTTCAAACATTGGACTCTTGAAATGTTCGCGTCCTTTACTGCTTTTATGTAAGGCCTTATTTGGAGTATTGCTCAGCAGCATGGGGACCCTTTTCAATTGAAAATATAAAAGCTCTTGAAGCTGTTCAAAATCAAGCCACAAAATTTGTCCCAAATCTGTAAACCATAAAAGCTAAGGAACAATGCTCAGCTATTGGTATCCAATCACTTGAAAATCGAAGGCGCGAAGTGATCTTATACAATACTTTAGGATTTACCACAGCATATGCAAAGTTAAATGGGTTGAATCACTATCTCTTGCTCCTGCACTTGCACAACCTGGACCAGCCAGTGGTCTTCAGGGTTTTCCTCATCGCATTCAGGCACCAAGAATTATTAAATGTGTAGCTTGCAAAACTTTTTTATGTAGCCATGTGGCAGTTAATTGGAATGCGCTACCATTAGATATCACTACCTTAGATAGAAGTGCACCAGATATTGTCAACATTAACACTTTTAACAAAAAGCTTGACATATTTTTTGGCTTACTTCCAAAAAAAACTGTATGATCAGCACTTCTGTTTCTCACTTGGTAATTAACTCAATGTGCTGACTATTTTATTTATTTTTTATTTTTGTTTTTCCTCTGGATCTACCATAGCAGGGATTGGTTGCTTTCCCAGCTTCACAGATTTTTCCATTGTAGATTAAATTTAAATAATTAAAATAAATAAATTACATAATACTTTATTTGTTTTTGTTTTTACTTTTATAACTATTATTATTATTATTATTATTATTCATTTCGTTCTTATTGGGAGCTGTGTAATTTATTTAGCAATTTGTTTAAATTGTTTATTTATTGATAATTGTTATTATTATTATATATTTATCTAATATAAATTAATAATATATTATTATTATTATTTATTTAGTAACTTTTCATAGAACAAAAGGCAAAAGTAATTAAAGTAATGTAGCATTAACTGCAACACATTTGTCTTTTTACAGATTTAGTTAGTATAACATAAATTATACTTTTCTGGTATATGTACAAGTTTTTTAGCTACTACCACTCATTACCAGTGTAGCAACATGATTTTTGGTGATTGAAAATGTTAGGTGTGGGTGATTATTGGTAGCTTTTTAGTAGCAAGATGTATTGTATATTGTATGTTAGAGTCTTTTGCTAGAAGCTGTGGTAGGATACATTGTTTTATTTTTTAGAGCAGTTAAGAGGAGCTGATCGCTTTTTAGTAAGTTCAATTTATTTTCTCATACATAGATTTTTTTATAGAAAGAATAATGAGAATAAAATTTTATTTATGTATTTAATATGAAAAGTTAAATAAAATAAGACTGTTATTTGTGA